ATTTTCCATTGGATTTCGGCTGGGATCGGCTATGTTAATATTACTGATGGGTGAAAGTAGGGCATGCGAGACAATAGAAACTGAAGTCTTTTCAGTAATTAATCATGGGACCTATACAATTAGATAGATACTGAAAAAATGAGAATTGGACGGCGTCTATGAATGCCTTGTGTCTAATCTTCCCCATTCTCACGCCGCCCACAGGGCGAGGTCCACATGTATTCATTGGGATCGGCGGAGGAGGCAGATGGGATAGTGTGAGCGATGTTTGTAGGTAGAAAACGGTGAGTGAACATCACCGTCAATCATGCGGAGTGAGTAATTGTCATCAGGGGGAGGATGGGGGTGACGTATACTCGTGATTGCACATCATCCATGTTCTTTAAAATATTATATTTTGATTCTAAATCGTTTCCTGTGGGGAAAAGGTCCGCTCTCTTTATGTACTTCATTAGTAATACCTATGGAGAGGTACTGATAAGTGAAAGGGGGGCAGCATGTGAGCTAATATCAGCCAAAATAATTTTATTGTTTTGTTCTTTTTTAGATCTATTCGAATGGGTTTATAGCACTGGGTAACCACAGCACGCTGGTGCCTAAGCAATATCCTGCGGGAACGGTCGAAACGGGACAAAGGCTGGGCTCCCTGGGTGGCGATTTCATCGGAGTCTTTACAACGGTCAATCACTGCAGTACTGGTGGTCGCATATCAATCAGGTATGACCTCTACTTACTCATCTGCAAAAAGTGCGTTTTTTTTTCAAATTTGTACACAATGGAGCTTGCTTAATTTTAGAGAAAGTTGGCGGGCGACATGACCGATAAGCTATGAGCGTTCAATATCCAACCAAATTTGTTCCTGGCTGATTATTGGTTGAATTTGTTTCAGAATTTTCGGAGAACATTATTTGGTTCGGAATTATAAAAAAATGCTCTGTAAGGACATTAAGAGAGTCATGTAAGAAATTATGCAAATTTAAAACCATAGTTTATTCGTAGATTAAAATAATTTTAAAAATGTACAGGCAACTTATGAATGACGTTTCTTATGGCAGGAATGTTTGCACCGAAAACATGTCCAAACGAATTTTTCAATTTACTGCGGAGTACTGTAATCTTCACTAGCCTGGCAAAGAAGCTAGTACAGTTTACTAGAATAAGAACTCGGTAACGAAATAATATCTTACAGTTCTGGT